GGGCGAAGACGGCAGTGCTGACCCTGGGGCCAGGTGGTCAGCAGGGCACCGATCCCCTGCGCTGACCACAGTTGCAGGGGAGGACCTCTCTGGGAGACATCTGGGAGGAAAGTGGAGCTGGGGACACTCAGGGGAGTGGGTACCTGGGAGTATCATCTCTCTGCTTGGTCCTTCCTCCACTCCCAGAACCCTGACATAGATGGACACAGTTCCCCATGTTCACTGGCAGACAGACCCCAGCTCATATTCTACTTGATAGACATCCTGGAGGGGTCTCCCTCCCACCCAGGTCAGGCGGCTGCATGAGTCATTGCTCTGATGCACAGGGAGCTTGAGGTGAGGGAGGACAGGATCTGGGAGATGATGTACAGGTGTCTGGCGCTTCCCTGGATGGTGCCCAGGGCCACGCCTGGGTCAGCCTCAGGCTGCACCGCTCCCCAGCCTCTGGCAGCAACGGCAAGGAAGCTCCTGAGACGGACGTGCCTCGTGAACAGCTCCACAGCCTTGGGGAACCCTGCTGGGACGCTTCCTACGCAGCTGCTCTCGTCCCCGCACCGCCTTCTGGGTGCAGAGATCGATCAAGTCGAGTTTATCATGGCCATCAATTCTGGTTTATTAGACAGCCATAGTACTCCCCTCTCAGAAATGCCTTGTTTTTATCTCTCGGGGAAAAAGGCTCAACTTTGAACAAGAATGAAAGTAAAAAGGGAACTTTTATGGCTTCATTTTCCAGGAGAAGGTGCCTCTTCTCAAAATGAGTAAGGGACGGGTCTCACACAGTCAGGCCTTCCCAAGGAGTGGGACCAGGGGAGGACCAGTCCCACCTTTGTGACTTGCTGACACTCATGTCCTCTGGCCCGTGTCTGGAGAGGCACACGGAGAAGCAGTGAAGGGACGATGCCCGGAGCAGGCAGAGGCCAGGGTCTGGGAGCAGAGGGTGTGGATGGCAGGCCCCGGAGGACACAGGCGCCGGGGAGAACATCTCAGCAGTGTGACTGAGAGAAGCCTAGCTCTCGGGTGGGGCCGGTGCTGGTTGGTGTGGGAAACCAGGGCCGGACTCTGGCATAGAAGTGCTGGGTTTGGATCCGGAACAGTCCTCTTCCATCGCAGCCCTTGGACGTGTGTTCCTTTAGAAGGCCTTGGGCTGCCCGTGGCAGCCAGTGGTGACGCTACGTGACAGCAGGTGTATGACGTCCTGCCTGACCTGTTGCCTCCCCTCTCAGCCATGCCGTAATGTTGACATGAAGATAGGAACCGTGATCATGTATGTCGATGCGTGAGGGTTGGGGACTCTGAGAAGGTAAATATCGATTTATTCATCAGATGCCGACTGAACGCCCGCTGTTTGTGAGACACTGTGCTGGCAGAGGGCGCACAGCCAGGGTTGACACCTGTCGCGGCCCGCAGGAAGCTGTGGGCTAGGCATAGGCTGGCCAGCGGTCTCTCCTGCATTGCTTGGGGCCTTCAGTGCTGAAACTGGGGGAGTCCCAGGGAAACCAGGATGAGTTGGTCTCCCTGTCTAGTTCCAGTAGTGGTAAGGGGGTGTTTATGGTGGCATTGAAGGGGGCCCAGGTGCTGGTTGGAGGGAGGGAACATTTGCAAACTATTTCTGTGATGAGATGACTTCTGTTCATCACACGTGAGATAACAGATCCCAAATTTTATAGAGAAGACACCTAAGGGACCATTTCTTCTGCCTCCCCTATTCTATCACAAGATAGGAGTGAGGGGGGTGGCGTACCCATGGTCACACGGCCAATTAGGGCAGAGCTGGGTGACTTCATCCCCTCCAAGGCTCTTTGCCTAAGAACTGTTCATCCCTGTCTTCCTCATCCTGCCTCCCTCCACATGTCCGCTCACCTAGGCCCACGTTTAGGTTGGGTGCGGAAATACTGAAGGTGCTGCGCCGTTCCAAGAGGGGCCACCGGCAGTGTGGCTATTGCTGGGAGGAACTGGGGCCCAAGCTCAGAGGAGGGAGACAGAAGAGGAAGGCCTTGCTGTGGGGAGGGGACCTGACTCTCCTGCAGGAGGAGGGTTGTAAGACAAATGCACATGCTGAGATCCGTGGTCCGAGTGGAAAATCTAGGCCTTATAGAAATAAACAAACCTGTTAGTTTTGTTTCATCCCAGAAACCTACTATGCATCAGTCCCTGGTGTAAGCTTGAAAAACAGCACAGTAGCAAATCAAAGTCCCTGCTCTCGGGGAGGCTCCTTCCAGTAACTGGACACAGACAGCAAACACGTTAATGATGTTCTACCCCAGGTGTCTGTTACGTTCAGAAGGGTTGTCATCTAAAAACATGACTCTTATATTCGAAAGTCTTTCATATGAAAATAGGGATCAGTAGAGTTTAGCTTGTACAATGTTTATAGCTTTTCCATTCTTCTTGGAGAGGGCCCACCAGGAGATCGCTCACAGGCACTGGTGGTTCAACCATCAGGACAGGCATGGCCTTAGCTGGAGAAATCCACCTTGGTCTCCTTGGAAGGGGAACACGCGTAGTTATGCTGAGAATTAAGACGGGAAGGCAGTAGGGGCAGGCAGTTAACCTCTGACTCTGGAAAGGACCTGGGGACAACCTGGAGCTCTGGCTCACGAGGGTCTCAGCACTCGGGAAACCTCTGGAGACGTGCACGCAGACCTAGGGCCGCTGTCTTCACTGCTGGTGGTTGGGGGGAGGACAGTGAACTTGGACCATTGCTGACCTCATTGGGAGCTGTTCATTACACTTTCATAACAGGAAAATAAAGGTCACGTGCCAGTAGTTTGACCACGCAAAGCATTCTTTTTAAAATGCAATTAGCAAGTAGGCTGTGCGTTAATACTGATTTGTTTCCATGCCGAAGGAAAGACCAGCTGCTGGCCTTGGTAGCCACAGAGGCACTAGCCGGAAGGGTTGACTGTTAACCACAAACCTTTGCATTGCTATTGTAAAAATCATATTCACAACAACGAAAGCTTTGGGGAAAGGGTGTGATGAGCTTAAGTAATCATTCCAGTCTTTTCCCCGTCGGAAGTCCCTCCCTCCACCTCCTCACCTTCTTGCCCTTCACTGCGGCGAAGGAGCCGTGTTCCTTCCCTTGCCCCTCCCCCAGCCCAGCACTGCGCCCTTGGCCCCACCGGGCCTTTGGACGGCTCGCTTCTGAGCACTGTTTAAGCTTCTGATCGGATCTCTCCTCCTCACAGAGCCCTTGCCTGACCTCTTCTAGAACAGCTGCCAGCGCATCACACTGTCTTCCTAGTCTGTGTTACTCTCACCTCAGCGCTTCTCTGAAATGGTACCATCTGTTTGCTTCTGTGTGTCTCTGCTTCCCCTCAAAGCGCAAGCTCCACGAGGGCAGGCCCTCAGTCCGCCTCCTCCTGCATCCTCCGTGCAGAACCCGCCTCCTGGAAGAGGCTCAATAAACACGTGTTGCACTAAATATAACAGCGAGTGAGTTCCACGCCAATCTGTTAACCTGACGCTTTTATGAAAAGTGTAAGTATGAAGTGGATTTGGGAAACGGCTCTGTTCTTCCCTTTCCTCCACCCCACTTAGGTGAAAGAGGAGAGCTGGAAATAGAATGGGAGAAGTTTCTGTAAATTTCCGGTAACCATAGAGACCGTGACTTCAGCTTATTAATCTCCTCCTCTTAAGCAGGCTGGGGCCCCCTGGTGATTCCTCCAAATTGCTCCGTGCTGGTTATCCCACAGCCTTCCTCATTAAGGAAGAGCAGGCCCATTCGTATCCGGCAGCACTTTAATTACTGGCGAACCGAAGCCCGTGCTGGCGCACTCATCATTGCCTGTCCTGATCTGGCTGGGTCTCCCACTTGGGGGCCGTGCAGCATGATCGCCAGCCTGAGCCCCTGGAGCCGGCAGTGGCTGGTGGTGGGGGTGGGAAGCTTCCTCTCTGAGCCCAGGGCTGGGTCAGGGCTGCCACGGATGCTCTGTCCTTCTCTTCAGTCTCCAGAAGAAGGGGTCTCAGTGCCTTCTGGGACAGCGTTTAGTTTCCGCCACAGGAGGACACCAGCAGTGGCCCCCTGCCCGTTGGAGCTGTGCTGGTAGGGGAAGGACCTGGACGTGTCCTTGGGAATCATGGCATTTCTCACTGCCGGTCTCTTTCTGGGGTCTGACTTCAGGGCTGCGTGTTCCTCTTCCCATGGGGCATGGCATGCAGACTTTCATGCATTTGCCTCCTGTCTTTGGGGTAAGAGATCTCCAAATGGCTTCAAGGTTTCAGTGGAACAAGGACAGTTAAAGGCAGGCTCTCCCACAACTATTTCTTCTTAAGGAAAGACCCCTGGTGTAGATATCAGAAGACCAGAGTTGATACTCTGTCTTGGCAGCTGAGTCATGGTGGGGACTCTCTGAACCTTAGTGTCCTCATCTGTGAAATGAGCCTTGACTTGTCCTTCCATCCCTCATTCATTCATATTGAAACTCTGACTCTAACTTCAACCTGGTTCTGAAGGCTGGGTCCCGGTGATGAATGGAGGGCAGGAGAGGTGCCAGGCAGTATGCCTGCTGGGGTGAGCCAGGGTGGATTCTGGCAGTAGAAGTCTCTGGGAAGAGACACAGGTCCTTCCTGAGGCAGATCATCTAAGCTCTGGCCTCACCTAGACATTGGCTACCATTTTGGAAAAACTAAGACTTTTCTTTGGTTGCATTTTCTATTCTGTTGGTTTTAGAAATGCTGAGTCATTCTTCCAGTGAACACTCAGTGGCCACCTACTGGGTGCAGGCACTGCACTAGGTGCTAAGGACACGACTATTCATCTGGGATAGTTATTGACAAATTCAGACTCTGTTGTGGGGCCAACATTGTTAATGGTTGTGACCCGGTCTGCTGCACACTTGGAGCTTGGCTTAAGTGTATCAAAGAAGAGGCCCCGGGAAGAATCTGGACTCCTGAGACCTCCAGGAAAGCTGGCGCCAAGACATAGGGTGGACCGGCACCTGGGGTGCCCCCAGAGTTGTTGCCGAAAGATGTAAGATCCCGACTGTTCTTCTTTCCAGGTGCCGCAACCTCTCATTCCCCACCAGCCTGCCGGAGGTGAGCATCGTCTTCATCTTTGTCAATGAAGCACTCTCGGTGCTTCTGCGCTCCATCCACTCAGCCATGGAACGCACGCCTTCACACCTGCTCAAGGAGATCATCCTGGTGGACGACAACAGCAGTAATGGTGAGTGTCGGCGCGCCTCGCTCTGAGGCTGACATCTGAGCGGAGAGCTCAGCCTGTGTTCGGGGTTCTCGGTTTTTCAAGGCTCTCTGTGGCTGCTCCTTCTCTGGAATGTTGCCTCGGTGATGAGAGATTCATGGTGGTCACTGCTCTGGAAGGTTCCCTCCATAGGTGTACCCTCTTTGCATCCCACTGAGGCCTGGTTCCCAAGCTTTTCTTACTGACCTACCCCTCTCTCCTCCAACATTCTAGAGTAGTAAGATAGGTAGCCCTGACCTCTACCCTGACCACAGACACAGTGAACATTGCCAGTGACTCTTTTCTGTGAAGTAGCATTTTATTTCTAGTGCTATTGCTTGGTCTTTGCCTGGAAGATTGTTTACTGTTTCTGTCTTTGCAGCGGTGATGATGATGGCAGAGGAGTTGGTGCTGGTGGTGGCAGAGGTCATCGGGTGTGGATGGTGGGGGTGGGGGGATGATGGGGGCAGTCATCGACAGCAATGGAGTCTGGAATGTCTAGCCTCTTTGCTGGGTGCCCTGCTCCCTGTTCCCTCTGGCCCTCTGGCCCTATCAAAGCCTGGGGGCCTGCAAGTGCTTATTGAAGCCGTCACAGCACTATCTCCCCTTCTCTACCCACTACCAGCTACCCCTTTCCCTTGGTGCATGTCCCATGGCCCCCGATCGCCCCACACCCATACGCCATACCATATATTCCCCACACTTAGGACTGAGGTGGTTTAAAACTAGTGCTCAAGAGGACCATTAATATGAACATGCTTTAGGTAGTGCTTGGTTTTAAGAAATAGACTGCTGGGTCATGGGATCGTGGTTTCTCTGGGTTTGTATCTTTAGCACTGCCTCTGGTGTCAGGTAGTAAATTTCCCAGTGAATCAGTTGCTGTAATGAGAAGTTCAGATGGGCAATTTGCATTTTATTATCAATTAAAATGGAAACATATCAGGTAATTGAAATATATTTAATCTCAATAAGCAGATTTTCTTTTTTATTTTATCATCATGTAGTGAGTAGTGTAGGAAGAGCTCTGTGAAGCAGATTTTGGAGCTTTCTGAAGGGCAGTGCTTATGAATCGTTGGCTCTCATCGCTCCGTGGGCGTGAGCAAAGGAGAAGGCAGCGAAGGACAGCAGCAGACGGGCGGCATGGTGGTAAAGGTGATCGTTGTGAGGGAGACAGGGAGAGGACCGGCGTCCGCACCTCCAGCAGCCACCTCCCATCACCGTGCTTGGGTGCAAGGACTGGGTTCCTAAAAAGGCTCTCATTCCCCAGTGGCTAACACAGGGATAGCCTGCTCCACACAGACCTGCTGTCCCCCTCACTTCTTACACTGTAGGAATGCAAGGGATGGAAGAGCCATCCTTCCAAGGGTGGGGGCACCTCTCAAGCAGGAGGCACCCCCAGACCCCAATCCACTGCATTTCCTCATCACAAAAGGGAGAAGAAATGAAATACTAGGTAGAAGGAAACCTTGGAGTCTTTCATTTCTTCCCCATGATGAGAACCTTATCGTGGCCTTAAGGATGCCTTTGGTCTTTAATCCTTATGGGAAAAAAGGATATTGAGTTGAGAAATTTGAATACAGATACAGATACAGATATTGGAATTTAAAGAGTTGGCCTTTCTTTTGTAGATGGTGATAACCGGTGAAAGTGTTGGGTGTGATGAGTAATGCAGTCAGAACCGGGCAATGGCAAGGCTTGGCCGTGGTTTATGGTGCTGGTGGGGGAGAGCAGCATCCAGAAGAAGGAACTGGCTGCGAAGGCAGCACAGTCAAGGAATCAAGGGGCCTGAGCAGGTGTGGGTGTGGGGACTGAGGGCAAGGTGTGGGCCTGAGAGATTCCAGAAAGGAAGCTTCTATCGGATCTCTTGACTAGTAGGCCATGAGCAGCTGGGCCAGATGGGGCTGATGAAGGATGACTCAGTTTCAAGTCAGGTTGGCTCAGAGGATGCTGGTGTATTCCCAGGTGAGGGAGGCAGGGGAGAGTGGGATTGTGCAGTGGTTTTATCGTTTGTTTGTTTGTTTGTTTGTTTGTTTGTTTGTTTTTATCAGGGATTGGGAACTTTCAGACCCAGAGCTTTAGGGAGTTTTGTGTTGATGGTAGTGTTAAGTAGCTTGACTGTGGTGGTGGTTACCCAAAGCCACAAATGGCATAATGTGAACAGAGTTCTGCAGGGAGAGAGAGCTGAGCAAGCTCTGCAGATGGTGGTGACATCAGCGTCTTCGTTTATATATTGTACTGTGGCTGTGTAAGATGTTAACGTTGGGGAGGCTGGCTGAAGGGTGCATGGGACCTCCTTGTACATTTCTCGGTACTTTCCTGTAAATCTATAATTACTTCAAAATATAAAGCTAAAACAAGCAAAAGTCTCTCCCAGAAGAGTCTAATTGAATAAATTTGAGGTGGAATCTCACCCCCTCTGTTTTCAAAAGTATCCTTAATGATGCTGTTGCACAGCTCTGGCTGAGCCCCGATGATTTCAGGAATAAGATGCAGCTTTGCTATTTGGTGCACAGTGTAAAGAGAAAAAGAACTCTGAACCGAATCTAAAGTCTTGGGTTCCAGGGCCCTCTGTCCTGGGGATGGGTGACCATGAAACATCCCTCAACCTCTCAGCGTCTCCGTGTCTTCCTCTGTAAATGGGATGGTACTCCTCCCTTGCTGTCTGATGGTCAAGTGTGTGACTGCATTGAGCACTGTCGGGGTGTCCCTCCCAGCCCCACCCTTTTCCAGGAGACTGCCACATACACAGCCCACTGCACAGCTGGAGCTCAAGGGGAAAATGTGGGGACATGGATTTGGAGCCTTGTACACAGAGTAATTGAAGCCGTTGACTGGGAAGAGAGGGTGGCAAAGAGAAGAGGGAGGAACAACAATTCGCAGTTGAGAGAATCCGGGGGTAAGACAGGAAGGAGCCCAGAGGAAGGGGGTTAGCTGGTGAGAGACAGAGAAGGAACAGCAGGAGAGCTGGATGACACTCCCCCAGGGACGGAGAGAATTTCAGGAATGAGAGGCATCTGTTTGAATGAACCCACAGACAGGTGTGAGGACACAGTCTGGGGAGAAGCCAGTGGATTTGGAAAGTTTGGAGCATGGAAACCTCAGCAGGAAGCTTTAAGGTGTTGGGGTGGGGCTGCAGGTGTTGGGGTGGGGCTGCAGGAGCCGGGTGGGACGAGCAGGCCTGGAGGAGAGACCTTTCTGCCAGGGATTTCCACTGTGAAAGAGAATCAGGAGCTATGGTAGGAACAGGAGCAAAGTTTCACACACACTCACATACACACACAGAAAGACTCTCCAACAAAAAATATATTTATAACATGACATGCCTACTCATACCCAGTTACATGCACACAGGATCGAAACAAAACATTGTTTTATTTAATCCTCACCTGAGGATATTTTTCCATTTATCTTCAGATAGAGTGGGAGGGAGGGAGGGAGAGAGAGAAACATCAATGTGAGAGAGACACATCGACTGGTTGCCTCCCACACGACCTCGACCAGGTCTGGGGACCAAACCGCAACTGAGGTATGTGCCCTTGACCTGAATCGAACCTGTGACTCTCTGGTCCACGGGCCAATGCTCTAACCACTGAGCAAAACCAGCCAGGGCTGAAACAAAACTCTTAAGAAACAATAGTTACCCTTACAATGTGGGAAGCATGCTATTTTCTATTATAGTCTGGTCTATGTTATTCAGTTGTATTGTATCGTATTGTATTGTGCTGCGTGTGTTTCTCTCTTGTTTAAAAATCAGATTGTTCTGGAGACCCTGACCACATGTTAGAGTCATTTGGAGAACTTTTAAGAAATCCAGGTGGCCATCCCTTAGCTCTGGTGATTTCACTGGTCTGAGTAGCAGGTGCCTGAGGTCCTTGAGGCCAAGGGGTGGAGCAGGGCCTGTAAGGAGGGTGGAGAGTGTGGGGTCCTGGGCATGGAAACCAGGGTTGCCTTTGGGAAGAAAGGACCCATCTTTGTCCCCCTCGGAGGATCAGATGGGTAAATAGGGAGAGAGCTGGGGGCAACGAGGAATGCAGCAATGGGTGCTGAGGCTGGGAAAGCAATCGCATCCTCCGGAGTGCAGGACGCCGGGTGGGTGGAGGGCATGGTGGGAAGGGGTCTGGTGCCAGCTGGACAGCCCTATGTGGAATGGGCAGGGAGGTGACCAGTGATGGGGCTCCTTGTGAGCAGCCTGAGCTAAGCTCTCAAGAGGGGAGGAAGAGACACTTGGGACTGGCTCTCGGAGGCAGCGAACCATGTCTTGCCTTAGCAGAGGGCTGACGGGCTCTTCAGCCTGACTTGCAGGAGGCTGGCTGTGGCCACGTCCTGGCGGGCTCCATCTGGGGCCTGCTTCTCTTGGGCATCTCCTCCCTCAGCACCGGACTCCCATTCCCCTCAGGGCAGGCCCGCTCAGCTCAGTTCACAAACCTTTCGAGTGCCCAGCCTAGGCCGAGGGCGCGGGGATGATGGACCAGATGTAGCCCCGGACATCACGGAGTCATGCAGACAAATGTGAAATGGGGGTGAACCACAGCAGGACCCGGTTTCCAGGCTCACTTCCACCACTGGCCGGTCGTCAGTCTTTTGCTTTGGGTGTTTAATGTGCCATGTGGGGACATCGGGCCCTGCCTTGCCCTGACTGTCCCATCGTCACTGAGGATAACGTGAGTAATGAGGACATAAGTGCCACCTAAGCGGCGAGTTCCTTAGAGTGAGCTAAAAGGACAATAACCACAATCGTTGGCATGTCGCCGCTGCTCGAAGGCGGCCCTTGTTTCCCTCTCTCCCGAAGCAGGGTGCTCAGGGAGGAGCACGGATTGGCACCAGGCCAGCTTTCCAGTCCCAGGGCTTCCTAGCTGCTTCCTAGCTGTGAGTCCTTAACCTCTGCGAACCCTGTTTTCCTTATCTATAAAATTGGGACGTATAATTCCTGCCTCCGGGATTGTTTGGAGGCCAGAATGAGAGCACGCAGGATGGAAGAGACGTCG